GATCTGTTCTAGTTTACTTATCCGTTCATCTAAAACTTTATTAAATTTTTCCTGGTTTTGTAGCAGTTGAAGTACCAACTGCAAGGTTGAAGAAATTTCTCCATGGTTTTGAGAGTTATTATTTGATTTTAGTGCTTGGGCATATGAAGGTGTTTCATAATTTTGTGTTAGTTTAGAAACTGGCAAATTTTTTATATATTCAGTGGCAGCAGAGTTGGGTTTATCTGGCTTACTACTTTGGTTGTCTTTCTGAACGGTTTTGTTTCGCATCTTTTGTAGCTCTTTGGCTACAATACATCCGCGATAGTTAGCTGGATGAGATTCGCCACAATTGCAGCATTTTGGTAAAGTTTCTGCTGGTTTTGTACAGCTTGTTGTTGGATGCTTTCCCGTACATTTAACACATCTTGCCATTTTTGAACAGTAGTTCCTTGTGTGACCAAAAGTTTGACAATTTTTACACTGAGGTATTTGGTTTGGTCTTTTTACTGCTTCAATGGAGACAATAGTAGCTAATATTTTATTTATTCCGTAAACCTTTTTAATATCTTCAATAGACTCAAAGGTGAGCAGAAACATACCTAACGGCTCCTTTGTTTTCCATTTAAATTTCCGATCTGCACTTATGGCTTTGAGCCCTTGTCTCTGTAAGTCCTCGACAATAAGTTTAGGTTCACAGGAGTGATGCAGGTTTTTAACAATAACACGAATAGGTCTTGTTTGTTTATCTTCATATGAGTACCAATCTATCTTAGCATTAGACAGCAGCTTTGTTATGCTTCTGTAGTCATCTGCTTCCCTGGTATTGAGCTTATACTTCCCGTTATTTATAAGCTTGAATGAAAAATCAGTTTTCGCAGTGTTTTTAATGTTTTCGTAAATCTTTATGTAATCAGTAACTCCTGATATCATTATTGGAAGGGGAGAATGCACTTTGGGGCCTTTATTATTTAATAGAATTTCCGGTTTCGGATTGGCATTTGTATTTTTATCATATGAAACATGAAGCTTTAGAGAAGATTCAGCTTTTCGTTTTTTATTCGGACGTTCTTGTTTCAATATCTAGTCAGTTTCTAACGCCAATTCTTCTTCATCAGTATGGTACTGAACAATCGTGCTATCTAATTTTGCATCAACAGCATTCTTATCAGCTTCTTTCTTTTGTGATAATGTACTATTCTTTTCTGCCTTTAGTTTTTGATTTTCTTTTTTAAGACTTTCACAACTAATTTCTAATAGATTTATTTTTTCTGTTAAAAATTTAATGTTACGTTTTAACTCATTTAGCATGTTATCTTGAGTCTGATCTAAAGGCGTTTCATTTCTACATGAAGGGGATGGAATATTCCTCATGGCATCTTGCATCCTTTTAGGCTGAGCTATTCGCTGATCATAGTTCAAAGCTTAAAATAAAGTTTATGTCGATGACAGATTTGAAAAATGTCTGGTTGTTTAAGTGTTGTAGTTATCCTGTAACGCACAGTTTTCACGAAGTAAACCAAAATTACGAAAACAATTATAAATAATTGAAAGAATTGAACAAAATATAAAATTGTCACAATATATTTACAGTTCGTTTATTTAGTTATTTAAAATTTTTTTTTGCAATTTCTTACTTTCGTTAAGAAAAGCATATGCTGTCTCTATCAGCTGTTGAGCAAATAAAATTTTATTTTTGTTTTTTTTGCCTTTGTTTAATTTGCAAATTAAAGTTTAATTTTTTAGAACAAAAAATTTTTAAATATACAAAACTGAACTTCATCTTTTAAAATCGGGCACCGTTTTGATAAATTTTATTTTATTTATGATCAACGGATCAAGTGTTTATAACTTTGAAATTTGAAATTTAACTTTTCGGATTAAAAACAATAGAAGTTGCGGAGCGATCATTTTTCGTGCGTATTTTCACCCACGGTTCAATTATCCTGTTGAAGTAAAGAGTCTATGGTCACGTTTCACAGGAATGATGAAAGCAACCCTCCCTGGCACCCTTGACTGCTCTCCGTCTCAGTCTATGTCTTCCATATTGTAGGTTTACTGCTTTTTGCCGTAGCATGAAATCCATCCATCCAATAATGAGTGAAACGATCAGCTAGAGCAGATTTCAATTTATTAAAGCTTACTTTGTCAATGACTCCTTCGATGTCCATCATGATGGCCATCATGATATGCTTCCTGAAGTTAGCTCTCGGTAGAGAGTGAGCTTTAAGCATGAAAGAGGTGAAGCTAACTGGCCTGAATGACTTTGCTTCTGTGTAATCCTTCTTTCCTGGCTTTAGTAGCAAAATCACCCCTGACTCTCTCCAAGACATAGGGACGTACCTTGTTGCCAGTGATGTCCTGAATATCTCCATGAGTCTGACTACGAGCAAGTCAATTCCCCATCGCAGGAGTGCTGGAAATATACCATCCAACCCCGGTGACTTAAATGGAACGAATGCCAAGATGGCAAGATGCATTTGTGGTCACGGAGGTGTCAAGACTCTACAAGGAACTCTCTGAACATACATTTCCCAGGATCCTATCCCTAGAAACAGAATTAGAATACACTGAACCCCCTAGGACAATAAAAAAGAAAGTTTGAAAGACTGCCAAAGATATTATCATAATGCCTAGAATCAGGTGGGAATTACCTCGCTCAAGCCACTGAAATCTTCGGCTACTGATGGCACTACTCTGGCATTACTCCAAAACTGATGGCAATGGCACTACTGCAAAAAGAGGGTGACTACAAGGTGGAGTATTGTTATCACTAATGTGGAGTATGGTAGTAGATGAACTATTGGTAAGACTGGATAGAAATGGCTTCCAAATCCAGGGTTACGCAGATGATGTGGTAATAATCTGCAGAGGAAAACTCAAACATACTCTGTGCGAGAGAAAAGAATGGTGCAATTCGGTTGAGCTGAAAATAAATCCAGTAAAAGCAACCATTGTGCCATTTACCAAGAAATACTAAGTCAAACATCTTAAACCCACCCCTTTGGATGGGTTAGAAATAAAACCACAAAAGGAGGTAAATTTTTTGGGTATAACCTTTGATTAAAAATTACTATGTAAATTTCACATCCAAGAAGTGACAAAAAAGACAACCAAAGCCTTTATGACAAGTAGATCCATCGCAGTTAAGAACGAGGTGTACACCAAAGTCACTGCGATGGATGGATACACAGCAATAATCAGTCCTATGGTCACTTACGGATCAATAGTCTGTCAAAACTACTCAAAACAGTAAAGCGTTATAAACACACTCAATGAGGTACAGTGACTTGCATGTGTTAGTAAAACAGGAGCAATGAGAACATGTTCTACATCATCAATTGAAGTACTCCTGGAACTCACACCTCTTCACATCCGTGTGCAATCAAAGGCGAAGACAGCTGCTCTTAGAGTTGTTACAAACAGAATGACTGGTCTTGAAACCAACAGCAAAGAATTTGATACTCTGGCTGCACAAATCCCAGAAACTGAAACGCGAGAGGATTGATTGTAAAGTATACTTTACAAAAAACTTCAAAACTGAATTTGGGCACAAAAAAGAATTGGAAGCTTTGCCCAAAACCCAAGTAATAAATGACTAAAAATAACATGGTTGGAGGAGCAATGAGGGAGCTGGAGCTGGTGTTTATGGACCAGGTAAGAAATATTGGGAAATAATGCAACTATCATTCAAGCCGAAATATACACGATAAAAATATGCGCGAGTTTTAACTTTGAACCTAACTACGGGAATCGTAAAATTGCAATACTGACTGACAGCCAGACAGCTATAATGGCACTCATATCCTTGTATGGGAGTGCATTGACAAGCTGAACATACTCCGCTGAAATAATCAGGTGCACCTAATATGGATTCAGGAACATGCTGGTATCCAAGGCAATAAAATGGCAGACAAACATGCCAGAAGAGGCGCAACCTCAAGAATGAATGACCCAGAACCATTTTTTGGTCTAGGCAAAGGAACTCTTTCTATTCTAATGAATGGTACAGATACCATCTGTACATCCGTAACCTACCCAAGCTACCAACGGCTGAGAAATGATTTATTAAATTGCGTTTCACACATATGATTCCACTCACTCACTTAATATAGCTGATTAGTCACGCTAATATGGACAATACTCTCGGACAAGTTCATATATTCTTCTCTGAATAGTGTTTGGTTTCAATTACATGAAACCATGGATACATGTGTAAACTAACAACAGAAACGCACAACTGGTCACCTTTAAAACTTGAACAACATGTAGTCACCCAAGATATGAGTGATAACGAATGTCAAAAAGCGAGAGAATGAGATTAATGGAAAAACGTTGGCGTCAGTTGCGTAGCTTGGTTCGGAAAATATATTTTTCAATTAAATAAATTATATTATCTTAAAAGATTAAATTAAAATAATTTAATTTACAATATTTTGATATTGTTCACAATATAAATGCAGCAATTGTTGTATATAGAAAAAAATGCAATGATTTATAAAAACCACAAATTATTCAAAAACAAGTGTCATCGACTATTCTCTTTATTAACGATTACAATTCTTAGCTAACTAACTAGATAAAAATTACAATAACCAACATAATACAGACAACAACCAATATAATCTAGATGAAATTACAATATTAGTTTAACTGTACTGTAGAGATATTACCTCCTTTAAAGCTCAGACTGAACTGAACTGCTTGTGCCTTGGCACGCATGCTTATGTTGATTTTTCAAACGAGACTTTTAAGCGAACTTGTTTGAATGTTTCGCTACAATTACTTGAAACCAAAGGGTGTGTTGGACTTTGGTAAGTACGGGCAGTTAATATTATCAAATAAAGAGTAAAATTTAAATAAGTTTTATTTTAGAAAAGAATGAAGAAGTTTTGGAAACAAGATTGCAAAAAAAATAGTTTTGAGCTTTTAAAGAAAATTTGGTATTACGCGATAGGATAAAAGAGTGCATTATCAGATTAGAAATAATTTTAGGAAAATCGTCTATGCACGATTTAATATTGTCACTTTTATTTGGCATGATTTCCATAGCTTGGACATCCAACATAGAATGCTGGTATTAAAACATTTTACTAAATTTTATATAACAGAATATAAAAAATTCCTCCGATCTTACCTTGTTTTGAGGATTATCTATTATTATATAGACTTAAGATATTCTTTGTAATCGTGCGCTGGTTAGTGTGTCTTAGCCAGATTTTATCTTTACAATTTAAGTCGTATACATTTAGTTGGCTCTGAAATATATAATATAATATATGTAAGCCACTAAATATCTGGTATTTTGTGCTATTCGAATTGATGTTATTTGCCATGTTTCGTAATCTTCGTGTTGTAGTATTGTCTACAAACAAAAAAAAATTACATTGTATTTATACAAAAAGAAATATTTAAAAATATGCTTACCTCTTGTTTGTTTTGATTTTTTGATTGTTTGTTTATGTTTATATTTTGTTTCATGTGTCAAATATGTCAAATTTTGATCATTTTAATTTTCGTCATTTTTGGTATAATTTTGGTCGAATTTTGTTTACTATATTTAATAGTAAATGCAAAAGCACGATAGCTCTTTGTATGGTTAATGAAATTTACTCAGTAAGTTAAGCTTACTAAGTAACCAGTGAAAATGTACTATAAGTTATAAATTAGCTCACGCTCGTGAGTACCAGTTCGAGCCGATGCTCATGAGATCTTATGCGCTGTTTACAAGAAAAAAATAAGTAATTCAAAGTTTATATGAATGTAATAAAACAATTTGCTTAAAATGCGAAAAATAAGTGTAATAAATTTTTTATATCTTAAATATAATAAAAAACTATTTCCAGTAAGCTGGTTTTTTAGTTGAGCTCACGGTTCGTGAGATCTCATGAACAGGTTTTTAATATGAGCAAATTGAAGACACACACTGATGAGCAGCTTTTCAATATGAACAAATTTTGGGACACGATCATGAGCAAATTTTGTACTCACTTAATAATTGGCTCTTGGCCATGAGTGACTTATAATATCACTCATTTTAGAGTTGCCGAAGAAATCCGTTTTGTGAAAGTGACAATCGGCTGATTGTAAGGGTTGCCATGTCGTTTGTACTGTTGCTACAAGTGTGAGCTGCATGAATGAGCAAATACCAACTCTGCTTTTAATAATCACTTAATTTTCTTTTATTTAAATTAACTAAATTAAGAACGCAATAAAAAACATTTGTCAAAAAAAGCATTTGATATATTTTTAAAGTGATGGCATAACCATGCTATAAATACCTCGAACAACCTTGCCAATTCGATTAAGTTCATATGTTAAGGGCCATGTTATGCAGAGTGTCTCGGGCACAGCATGGGTACAAGTGTTTTTATTTTAAATTTGAGAATAAGAGAAAAACAATATGACCGTTTAAATTCCGGCATGAGAGCAGGCGTATTTGTGCTTCGGCACTTAAGCAAAACAGTGTTGTTTAATAATAAATTTCAGAATTTGCGCCTTTTAGGAACAAATTACTACAATTTTAATACGTTTTGGAGACAAAATGGCCTTTTTTATAAATACCTAACGATCTAATTATTACACTTTCTGATTTTAAGGAAAGGCGTAAGTACTGTTAACAATTATTATAAGATAATATAATAATAAATTAATATTATTATAGCTTCTATGTTTTTAATTAAAATAAATTTTAATTTTTCTGTTGTTTTAAACCTAAACTGTGCAATTGTATTAATTATCAAACATTTTAATAAATCGTAATCATATGTAATTACAATAAATATTATTACAATAAATAAAAGGAACATGGGCTCTTAGTTTTTGCACACGTTTGTAAATTATAATATTTCCCCCCTAATCCAATATATTGTGTGTAAAATTAAGAACGTTCTTTTTAAACGGATTCCATGTGTGTCTAGTCAAGATATTATTTGACAATTACAACGTTCCGTCCATGTTTGCATGATAACTTTTGATTTTGCGAACAGTAGACGTGCAGAAAGTGTAGTACGGGTATTGGTTGTGTTTATATTGTATATGTGATATATATAAATGGAATTTCAGATATGTATGTATTTATTTACATACATAAAAAGCTGATATAGATAAAATTTCTGAAGAACGTATAACAATCCTTCATCATCATAAATCTAATCATAGTTTTGTTGTGATACATCAAATTGAAAATGTTTTAAATATACTTAAATAATAAACAAAGTTAAGAATATTAAAATTCGATATATTTAAAGAAAAGGCAATATGGAAAAAATGTTGCATAAAAAGTAAATGAAATAATACATACTACGAAATGAAATAAATGTACTAGCTAAGTTTGGTGTCCAATAAAAATTCTATAAAAAAGTGCATTTCCGAAAAGTTCAGCAATATTTTAACGAATTATGAACAAGGTGTATTATGTACCAGTATGTATTCTTGATTGCTTATTAATAGAAAATGTAATATTTGCAGCAATGATGGAAGTTAGGTGTGATATTAGTTAAATCCATTGTTTGGGGATTCTTATTGCTCGATTTTTTAGCATGAGAATTTTTTTTCATTACTTTAATTTAATAGGAAAGCAACAGCTGATTTTTAATATTTCACATCGCTTTATCTTTAAATGGCTTCGTAAGTTTATATTCGAAGTAAAACAAAACCCAAAGTAATAAATCTAAAAATCTATAAGATCTTGTATTACAACTTAAAATGGTATGCGTTTAATATATTGCACGTCAAATTGTTTAATATCATCTAATTGTTCTGTGGAACTTTTTTATAAATACTATTGTACAAATATATCCGTTATTAATTGTGGATGTTGTCAAATCAAAATTAACGAGTTATCAATATTTAGACTAAGTGTAATCCAAAATTTTGCAATGTGAACATTTTTTAACTTTAACACCGAAAGTTCCTTTTGTGCTCGTGCTTCTAATCTTCTCATCCCTATATTTTATTTATAACAGGCGTATACATATTTAATTATTTTGGTTATACGTTATAAAAGAATTTAAGCAATTTAAGTTCTAAAAGCATAGGGCTTTAATAAAGCTTCTCGACTTAGAGGCTTTGGCCTAATATTAGATTATATAAAAAAAATTAATGTTTTGTTTATATTAATTTGAATAAATTAAAGATCATTTTTGATAAGTACAAAGTGAATATTTTTGTGATTTGTATATAACATTTAAAAAGTCTGAAAAGGTATAGCGCTTTTATTATTACAAACCAATTTTGTTACGAATTTGAAATATCTTGAAATTACTGCATTTAATTAATTTAAATGTTAATATCTTAATAAAATTGTTTGTGTTAAATTTATTTTTGGTTAAGCTATAACTCTCAAAATACAGGAAAAAGTTGAAATTATAGTTATTGTGACACTGTTTATTAAATATTTATTTTTCTTTTTTTTCTGTTTTTTCTGTTTTTTCTGTTTTAAAGCAATATATGTCAAAATTTTCAATCAACACATCTAATCAATGTATCTTATAAACCAAATGTAAGAGCTGTGCATGACTTTTGGTACAGAATATTTATATTAGCAAGTAATAAAGTGCGTTTGATTTTTTTGCAGCATTAGTTTGTGCTTTCTTCAATATTTTTACTTTTTAGTAGTTGCTATGCTGCCATGTTTTAGTGTCGCAATTTCTAAACCTCTGCTATATACTAGCTATGCTATACTTGAGATGTGTACTAAAAATGTTAATCAGTTGTGTTTCGTAGATAGATGTTCTACAAATTATGTGTCCCGGCTATGAGTCAATATTGCAGAAAACAATAATAACGTACAACCAAATGTGTTTTTTTTTTTCAAAATATGTACTTTTATTTTTCTTAATGCAATATTATCTTAACAAGTTTTTATGAAACAATCGAATGAACTGATTTATATATATATATATATATATATATTGCAATAACATAACAACAAATAAAATAAAAAAAATAATATTCAAATTTCAGTGCGACCGACGATATGTGTTATGTTCAATTGGGATTTTCAATTCAATGCATTTAGGTTACTGCCTCCTCATTCTCTCGATAATACTGCAGAGTGTGATAACACAAAGTGCTTACGTTCATGTAATATTGAGAGTGGCTATGCACGAATGAATGAGCCTACTAAGTGTATACCAAAATGAATTTATATGTACTAATAAAAATGTACACAGATATACCTCAGTTTGTACAAAAGTAGATATACATATGTATGTATTTAGATGTACATAATTGTTTTCTTAGGTTTTGAGTATATTAGTTAGTATTAGCGCTTGTTTGGCTGTCTTTTTTGCTTCTGGCCAAATGGTGCCTATTTATAAGTTACTGTGAATTTATAATTTTACAATACTGTGAGACATTTTTAATAATAATCAAATACTAACGATGTACAGGCGTGCATTAAACTATTTATGTTAAAGTACTGATCTGAAATAAGAAGTAATGTGCGGTCAAATATATACATGAATATATTGTCTTATGTAATATGTTTGTAAATATGGTTTTACAAATTTTACAAATATAATTTTCCTTGATATTAAGAAATTTCGCTTCTTTTTCGCTTGTTATATATTCTCTACAATCACATAATATATGTTTGAATAAGTAAGTGCTTGTATGTTTGTATTAATTTGTACATTTCTTCAGAATTATTTCGCAGGTGTTTACTATTACGTATACATTCGATTTTGCAAAAAGCATAAAATTATAATTTTGTAAAATAAGTTAACAGAGTGTACTATTCCTACACTTTCTTCACTTTACTCTGTTACACTACATTTGTTATAACTTCACACTCCTGAGGATATTTCCTTCTGACTTACAATGCTCTAATGTGCCTAAACTTCAAAGTAAAAACTAGATCCTTATTAAGAACAAACCAATATATTAAGGAGTAAGCTTCAGTTATAAAATATGTGAAATTAATTTTCCGAGTTTCATTTAAGAAATGTTTCGCACTGAAAGTATGTTCTGTTCCATTTCACACAAAAATCTGCTTTTTTTATTATTTGTAGTATAATCCCACAATCAACAATACCCACAAAAATATATTATTATTAAAGTGAAATTCAAAAAGTAGGTTCTATAATGATATTAAAAAATTTAATAATATTAAAAAATTGTTTGGTTCTATATTTGAAGAATAAATTAACACAAAATTAAGAGTTAACTTTGTTCTGGGTTACCAGTAAACCAGAGTACTATAAGTACAACATAGTGTCTCGTTTATTCCGAAATATTATCACAAAGTTGTTCCCGAGATCAAATTTTATATAAGAAACCTATTCGTAGACAAATTTTTTTCAATAAGTTTTCGATTTATATAATTTAATGGCAGATCTATTTGTTATGAGATCACCCGCAGTGTCATTGAAATTAACTTACTAAAGGACTACATCATTTTTATCGTATGTTTTGGCAGTCTGCAAGAGGGCAGATGAAAATTTTCAGTAAATTATGCCTCGTACATCTCAAGTACATAATTTTAACTGGATCTTTGTCAGTAGTGCTTCTGCCTTTCATGAAAAAGCAGATAGAAAAAACCTGTACCGATATCTCTAATGAGGAAGCTGATCATACAAGCAAATGTTTTGAAGTCACTACGGCCTGTTGGCATCTCAGTTTTGGCGATTCACATATTTAATAACACATACGGTTAATCGTATTAACCAATTTCTGTGTTCTCAAGCAGATATTGCAACATATAGTTATATCGTTATAGTTATATATATGCAGATATCAACAACAACTCTGCAAGATAATGTTTCCGTTTTTATACTATATTAGTAGCACTAAATGTCACAAAGCGGGTTAACACAGTCTCCCATACAGATTTCTTAACAACTTGCCTTAGATTTTTTTCCCTGACTATTAAATGATGCATTTGTCAATTTCTTATTAGGGGAACATCTCTTTTTCATTTTGGGAGTACGAAGTCCAGAGGGACTCAGAGTCATAATGTATGCTGATGATTATACAATTTTTGCAAAACGACAGAACTCTACCACATAGCGTAATGAAATTAAAGTGATCGTTCCTGAACTGGCTGATTACTACAAAATAAAAAATTTCACTTATATAAATCTTCAGTTGCGATCTTTTCTTCCTGGAAAGACCCGTGATGGTGATTTACCAATTAATGTCGTTAGGATTTTCTCTATCACTGAGATGGTAGAATTATTTTCTCCGCAAATATCATTGTACGCTGAAAATGCTGGATAAAGAGGCACTGGAATGAAATCTGGTTATGTCAAAACAATGCGTATATTTCCCGTTAAGAGATGGTAGCGTTTATTTTTGGAGATTTCTACTATTTCATCTCTGCCATAAAGACCACTACGACAGCACCCTTGTCTGTGAGTAACCTATGCATTTACCTAGTTATCATGTACTGGTTTATCTTGTAAGTCTTCGTTAAAACTTCCAACCCATTTCTGTGACTTAATTTCAGTTTTGAAGCAAATTGAGGACGCATTGAGAATTTACGATATGATATGGTTTCGTAATAATTTCAAACTTCTTGTGATTTTGACAATTGTATTAGCTGATATCGTATGCAGCATATGACACCCTAAAAATTTTCTGTTTTTCTTTTATAATGTTATTTTGACAAAAACAAAATGTTTTTAGATATTTGAACTTTTATTATTATTATTTTATTCCATACTCCATTAGGAGCTAAAGGTTAGAGCAAATGAGTTTCAATTCCTATTCCATATTAGCGCTGCGTGCGATTTATCGTCATAAGGCCTAAGTAAGGTATGACCTATCCATCCATAGTTTCACTTTTGAATTTTAACATTAATAGACGTTCGGTTAGTTTGCCTCCTGAGTTCTTCATTTGATATCGTTCTTGGCAACTATATCTTCATTATGTTTCGCAATCAGCGGTTGATGAAAGTTTGTAGTGTCTTTTTAGTCTCCGCCTTTTTTAACACCAGTGAAGGAGTCACTTAACTTTACGTTATATAGCACTCTGCATTTTGTTTGTGCGTAGCTTTTTCTTATAATGCTAATAATTTTTTGTGACACTCCCATCCTTGAGGCCAACTATATTCAGTTTCTCTTGAAATAATCAAAAGGTTTCTCGTAGTTGATTGCAGATAAAGTGCTGTTGAATTCGATGCATTGCACAATAATAACTCGCATTTATGTTGTCAAATCATGAGCGATTTAACCGAAAACCCGATTGTTGTTTACGAAGTTGTGCGTTGATTGAATCTATAATGCAGCTTTCCTCACAGCTGCAACTGGTGCTATTCCTCTCCAGTTGTTGCAGTCAGAGAGGTCACCCTTTTTTGGTGTTTTTACTATTATCGATTCTTTCTACATTGAAGGGATTTCTTCATTGTTCCAAATATCTCTACATAGAGGATATAGCATATCAGTTGTGCAATCTACATTGGCTTTCAAAAACTCAGCTGGAATATTGTCGACGCCAGCAGATTTACCATTTTTTAATGAACGCATCGCTGATACAATTTCTTGTTTAATTGGAGGTTCATTACATATATTGCGTAATGGTCGCCTTGGTTGACCAATTTGCGGCATGTTGTTATTAGTTATTAACATAGTCTTGGTCACGCCACATTTTAAATTGTTCCTCCTCCATAGTTATAGAGTTTCGATTGCTTTCTATTAAAGACCTCCATAGTTATAGAGTTTTCATTGCTATTTTTTAAAGGCATAGTTCGATTGTTGTTGTCGCTAGATAGCTTTCTGGTGTTATTAAATACTAGATCGTAGATCGCCTTTAGATGCTGCTATTTTCGCTTTGAACTTGTAAATGGCACTATTGTAGTTTTTGCTGAATTTATATTCAATCTTACCTTCACACACCACGTTTCCGTTAATTCTTGACCGAATCAGATTCCGTCAAATTGAGTATTTTGGAAATTGAAACCACTTTATATTCATTGAAAAGTTCTACGTGACTTTCCCCGAACTTCCACGACAACCAATTACTTACACTAGGACCTTTTCTGAAAATCATTATTTTAGATTTGTATAGATTCGCGATAAGACCCCATAGTAAACAAACCTTTCCAGATCATCTATCATAACTTGCAATACAACAGGTCAGTCCGCAAGTAGAACCACATCATCAGCATACAAAAACACTTATATGAGTTAAGTTGGTAGGTACTTCACCCGTTAAAAAGTCATGCAGATCATTTAAGTATAGAGAAAACAAAATCGGGCTGAGCATCCCTGTTTTACACCTTGACTGATTCTAAACGAAGAACACATAAGATGCGACTGCTGGGTATAATTTTAGTAGTATGGTCAAAAACTTTCAAGACAAATCTAAAGTGGCTAATTTGAAAAATAAGGCATTCCTAGGAAAAGTGTCAAATGCACATGAGAAATCGACAAAAAAGGCATAAGTTTTCTTATTGTTAATTGAATTAAGGTGTATTATAGAAGTCAAATTGAAAATGTTATCAACAGTTGAGTAGAATATTAAATATGTTAAATTTAATGTGTTAAATATTCATAATGGATTCTACTAATGCGACATGTAGTCTAATAAAGTTATCTAACATACTACCTTTTATAGATTTTTTCATATATGGGATGGTGTCGAGGAGTTTATATAAAGAGCGCTCTTCTTAGCCACATTCGTTATTCAACTTCTGAATTAATTCGTTTGTTGTGATTTCTGATTCACTAGATAATTGATATCCTTTAGGAGAATGTTACTAAATAATAAACAAACGAAAATAAAATTTTAAAATAAAACCGGTGTATGAGCGTAACTATTTTAAACAAAGCAAATTGACTTTAACCAGTCAGCCCTTTTAACAAACAATTGGAACAATTGCTAAAATTTTTGTTTATCATCGGTTTGATAGGGAGTGAAAAATAGTAAACTAATTAAATACGACTATTAGTCGTAAGCTCAGTTAATATAAGTAAAAGTTTACAAGGTAGTATGTATATGTAATGTAGGTGGGTTGTGTACACCTACAAGCACCGCAGATATACGTTTTATAGCAGCATATTTGAAGCATAAATGCTTGGTCATCTGCACGTAGTTTATTTATATTACTGATTAAACTTGGTTGTCACAGATACTTACAGGCAATTCTGGCAAAAAAAGTTGAAGGTCTGTTAAAAGATATAACGAAAGACAGTTTCAAAGGTTTTTGCTTTTCTTGTATTCTTCCAGAAAAAGTTTTATTATTTTTAATTCGAATTAAAAAGCTGTTTTCCGCTATAGGTTTTACAGTTGTATTGCATAACTGGGGCATATGCATTATAATGCGAGTATTTAGTATACCAAATTTCAACTTCTTATCTATCATAGTTTTTGAAGTAACTAAGTAAATGTGAGGGGTTCTGGTAGGCCAAGGTCATCTCAGAAATAAAGTTTAAGGAAAATTTCATCTCAATATGTTTATGGTTTAGAAAATATAAAATTTTGCTCGAGTAGGTTTTTTTTTTTTGCACACTATGCGTCGTTTGCGCAATATATGAAAATGGTATGAAAATGGTAGGACAAAAAAAAAATAAATAAAATAAAATGCCAGCTATCAGCTTTATTCTGTCTTGTGAAAGACAGAAAAGAGATTTCAAGATAGTAGGAAGAATACGAAACAACTTTTAAAAGATTTTTTAAAACGATAGTTGCTAGAATAACATTGTTAGTTGTTTCGTAGCTATCAAATGAGGTTTTTCTTACATTATATTTATTTCCATATTAAAATGAATTATTTGAAGTAACTGAAACCCAAAACAAAATCCTAATCATTGAACGAGTGGGTGGGTAATCCCAGATAATTCAAGACTAAAATATAGTTATATCTCTCTGAAAGAAACTGCTTTTGAGTGAATGCCACTTGTATACGCTTTATGAATTTATATATATGTTTTAAATATTTTCCTAAGTTTTAAGGATATATTTCATTTTCTTTTGTCGCAATTTAGTTTTATTTTGCATTTTTTATGCAACGATTAAAAATTGAACTATCTCAATGAAATTGCATTCTTATCTAGAAAATATCATTTTTTCATAATCAAAATAATTATAAGCAAGTTTTAAATAAGAATTTTTAAACTTAGTTTCTTCGACAATTCTGATTTTTTCATTTTTTATCATCATTATCAAGCGTTACAGTTCGAGGTGAGCTTTACCGGCATCAATTAGCTTCCTCCATTCTGCTTTGCATGTTGTTTTAGACCTTCAGTTTTGGATACCTATTTTTGGATGTCGTCGATTACGTTATCGAGCCATCTAATAAGTTGTCTACCTCTGCTGCAGTCATTGTACGGAGTGAAATGGAGTATTCGCTTCTGTGGTCTATTTTCTGGCATTCTCATGACGTGCCCGATCTATCTCCAGCGCTACGACTTTGCAAACTTTACAGCATTTTCTCCGACAATTCTGATTTTTTTACTTACCTATGCTTATTTTAAATAATTTACAGTTTAGTTAACATATTTACTAAAGAAAGTGAAGTTTGCATTACAACAACAAAAAATATATTTTAATTAATTGAATGTATGGCCGATTATTTGTTAAATAAATATTGACTTCTTAAATTTTTTCTAGAATTTTTTCGATTCATGGCGTTAGTATGCTATTTAAACAATTTGCTAAAGACCGAATATGAATTTGTCTCTTTGAAGTAATAAATTCTTCAGCTTTCAAGCAAAATATTTCCGATATCATAATGGAATTAAGTTAAATAAATACTAATTCTTAGTCTTTGTTTAAGCATTCCTAAATTTTTAAATTATTTTTTTTTGTACATATAATCATTATTAATATTTAAAAACTTGGTATGAATTTTTTTTTAATTATAATTTTTGTTGCAGGTTACCACAGTTCATCTTATAAAAATGGTTCCTCTGCACCTTACGTTAATATAATCTCTAACAAAGCAACGAAGCAATGATATGTTAAAGTAATTTTCAATAAAATATATTTTTAACTGAATATAAAAAAGATAAAATCCTTAAAAAACATACTTTATCAATAATATGAACATAATGGTGTTGAACTTTAAAAAAGAAAATAACAATTTTAGCATTACGGTATACAAAATAAAATTGAATTAACAAAGTGTAAATCTGTGGAACATATATAATATGCAAGTTGCAACATTATTTAGAGAAGAAGCTACACTTGACAATATTTATACCACTTCTATAACCGAACCAGAACAGTTCTTAACTGTTAGCGCAGATGTAACGCCAAACCAAGTATCACTATTATCAATAAAAAGTATGAGTGGCGATGGTATTGACATTAAAAATCCAACTTCTTCGGAGTTATCTACGAATTCTGATATAGATATCGGTAGTAATATTAAAACAAATATTGTGGTAATGTCGGATAAAGCAGTAAATAGTCCTGATGATCGAAAACGTAAAAGTAATTTCAGTGAAAATGAAGATTTATTTACAAATGCTAAAATGATTAAGCAAAAACAACATCAGTCAAATATTACCGCAGATCATGAAAAGGTAATTTTTTTTATAATTTAAGTTAAAGTCTCTAAACTCTTTTTTCTGCACTATCCAAAAGCCGTGCAACATTCACAACATTACTAATTATATCCAAATTAATCAGTTAATTAATCAGATTTTGGCTACGTTTCCCTTTGTGACCGTTATTAACCCGAATCTACTGTTGTGAAGTCTATAAACAAAATTTAACTATAAAACTGAAACAAGTTTATTCACGTACTATGACACCTATGATACCTATAATCTTTCCAAATAATCAGCTGATTTCAGTTATCTTTCTAAATAATCAGCTGATTTCAGTTAATATAACATGTATTTCAATATTAATAGTCTATTTAATAATATTAATAGACTTTTAACGTAAATAAGTATATTTTTATTTTCATTTACTTTACATTTGCTTCTTATGAATATTTAAACTTAACTAAATTATATTTTGTTAAAAGTAGCCTCTTAGTTTTGTTTTTCCCAAAATTCAAAATAAAATTTTTAGTTGATGTATTCATTTTTTTTGAGACTTCCAGAGTGCCATATATAATTTTTTAATAGATTGCATCAATATTTGTATTGTATATAATTCCGAGTTCTAATTTTACTTATCACTTTTTCAGAAAACATCCAACGAAAAAGAATCTTTTGAACAAGGTCCTTTAATTCAAAATATAGAATTGGAGGCAACTAATTCATCAAATAATGAATTTAACTGTAATTTGAAAACAAAAACATATACTAAGGATAAAACCATACCATCATATGAAACAAATGAGAAACATAATACTGATGATAAAAAAAAAGGTGTTGATAATAGACCAAATGTTGATCCTTCAAACTCAAACAACGAGATTCCGTATACAATTAATACCTCAGGTGATACTGTTTTAACTCCTGATAAGTATTTGCCGGATAATGAATACATGTATACCGATTTAATCAAAACTCACTCAATGCATACTACAGGTAACAAAGTTCCTTTATTATTTGTGGATACTACAACTCAAAGTACCTACAACGAAAATTCAGTAGTTGGTGCAACTAAAGAAGATAGTAATACTACAATGGACAAAAAATCGGAGTCTGAAATTGTCAACAATTTGGAATATTGCCAGGTTAAAAATGTTCCTCAAGAACAAAAAAAAATCGCAGCAGAGGCATCATTTTATAGTAATAACAATACTAGTAATACTAATAGCAAACAGAATAGTAATGATAATGACAGTGTCCATAATATTACTACAAAATATACGAGTAGTTATGATATTAGAAATTTGGTTGAATCTAGTAGTATTCAACCTAAAAATAAAAATACTATAAATAACTGTTTGAATGAAAATTCTACTGATTTGGATGACAATAAAGATGGTGCGAAAAATGAATCTACAAGAACTGAGTTCTTTTTGTATACTAATTCTCATGGTTGTGTAAAAAACCATAACATAAACAATTCATATAATTTAAAAAAAGAACATGATGATGACAATATTAAAATTAACCATGAAAACATTAACAATTCAGACAATAATGTTTTGTTAACAGAATTGGTAAAATCAACAGAAAAAAACCCAAACACAAATTCAATAACATTTCACTCAGACAAAGAATTATTTATAAATAATTATGGGTGTATTAAAGATGATGAATACTTAAAAAATAATCGTTGGTCCAGCAATGCGATAAATTATCATAAAAGGCTAAATCAAAACAATCAAAACCTTATTGAAGAAACCAATATAAATCAAAAAAAATATTTTACAGAAGAAGAAAAAAGTAAACCGCATAATGAAAGTTTAGCTAATTCACCTAATTTGCATTCATATCAAGTGTCGGAAAATATTCAAGAACTTAGGTTGGATTCCGATTCAAGCATTGTTACGCAAAGCAATGAGAAAAATGAGAATGGTAATTTCAAAGTTGAGGATTCAAGTACATTGCATAATATCAGAAATGAAAGATTATATAGTCAAATCGAATTACAACAATATAATCAACAGAACCATCATATTGTTCATCCAAATCATAACAGAAATAACTTACAATTACAACACCAAAATGATTTAGAAAATTTTGACCAATCAGAGTTGTACCACCAACATCAACGGGAAAGTGCACAAGTCATTTTCAGTCCGCAACCAATTTCTTTGCATCATCAAATGCAATCCCAAATAGAACAACTTCGACATAATACAGAACAGAATTCGCAAAATGATCAACGTGATCAACTACAAATGGCTAATAGTCATTCTAATCTTATGTCCTATTTACAACATGACGAATTAAATAATAATCTAAGAGTACAGTCGCAACATCAGCAATTACATGAACATTATCAACAGAATCACCACCAACAGCAAAACATTTATCTTCAAGAACATGGACAATCTAACTTATTAATGACATCACTCCAACAACAAGGTATTGAACATAATTTGCTTACGTCTAAGCAAAAAAGTACTTTAGCAACTATGGATGATTTAATCTTGGATGAGTTTCATGATGAACGCAATGCCCCATATAAGCTGTAAGTTTCTTATTTTTTATTAATTGTTTAATGCTCTATCTAAGCAGTATTCATAACGAAATTAGATGAAAATATCATTTCAATTATTTATTTTATATCCTTAGCAACATTTTTTTTTATTAAGTTTGTTAGAAAACGAACAGGAAGATAAACGGATTACATAAGAACCATTTTGGGTGAAATGGGATAGTGAAAGTGGGTATATAAAATATGCGAAATAAAAGAGTTGAGAAGCGTTTGAGAGAAAGTGGTATATTGAACTAGTCTGCAAACTACAAGTACATTGCTATATTGAATTAGTCTCTAAAGTATAAATACATTGCTATATCTAGCTATAATAGGGGCACATATTGCGGTTGAAGGGTTTATACATAAGAAGTAACTATTTACCACGTGATTATATCCTATTTAGTTATTGTGTCTCGAAGTTGTCTTTTGTAACTAGAGGAATTAGGTACATGCCTTTTGAAATCCTTGATACAGTACAAATTTTGCAGTATTGGTCATTACTATTGTGTAGGCAGTAGTTAATTATGTTGCTATGCGACCAGAAAATTGCTTTTTTCATAGAAGCATTCTTCGTACTCCAATAATTTGTCATAGCTGAATTATTTATAGTTGTTTTTTTTATAATTGTTTTCTATACAAATCCAGTATGATGCGCAGAAAACGAAACATTAAATGGATCTACTAATATAAATTATAAACGAACATTTGTAACCTTACTATTCTTAACATATTCTGAACATTCTTATAGAGGGTATTTTTTTCTAATGTTAACTGCTGTTTTTAGCATTTTTTTGACATTATACATAATAAATCTTTGAGTCTGTTTTCTTTTGATAAGAAATTATCCTAAATGAAGTTCCTAACCACGACGCCGATGTTGTTATTGGCTACAAATACGCGAAATCTTTGTAAGAGGGTGGAGAAAAATCATATTGGTGATACGTTGTGACTGACTCCATCTGACTGGTGGTGGTTAAGGATAAATTAAAATGTTTATCAAACGCCTAATTATAGATATAGACGTTAATTATAGCAACTATAAGGTGTTTTTTTTACCTGCATGAGAACCTGAGAATGTCAAACTGTGTTAACATTCCTGTTCAATAAGGTTTGGCAATTCATCATGAATCCAAATTGTGGAAATTTACTTTGAAAAAAATTAATCTGTTCGCGAAGTTCATAAACCACTTCATTGAAGAATTGTGTTTAGAGATAAAGCTTATTTCTGGTTGAATGGCTACGTCAATAAGCAAAATAGCCAAATCGCCGTTACATTCATTAAAATTGAGTGTTTAGTCCTTATTTCGTCGGTCCTTATTGCTTTCGAAGGAGTTGCCGTTAGAGTAAGTCGAGCACTATCGATCCATGTTAACTGAATTTTTGTTTCCAAAAATGAATCAGATAAGCATCGACGACGTTTGGTTCTAACAAGAAGGTGCAATTTGCCATAAACCACGCTTTACAGAAGTGGTTCTGTTAACTGGCCTCTCTCGATAACTTTATGGGGTTAAGTTAAGTCATTGGTTTATGCCGACAAACCAGCAACTCTTGTAATATTGGAAACAAATGTTGATGACATCATTGACGTCATACAATCACATTTTTTGCAAAAAATAGTCAAAAATTGAACTGGTCGAATGGATCATATAATTCGTAGCAGCGGCGGACATATCCCGGAAATCATATTCAAAAAATAAATGTCATGAAATTATCTATCCATCTATTTTAAGTCCTCGGCAGCTGAAAAAACACCCTATAGTATATATATACTAACAAGGAATTTTATTTAAATCAATTTATTTCAAGAAGGTATGAAAGCGTTATAACATGAGGTTTTGTACTGTTGTACTTTATAACTCTTGAATTTGTGCAGTCCTTTGCAGAAAAGCAGAAACTACAGAATTGACGTAATGTCTTAATCGCGCATTAACGTGCCCTTTCCAACGCTGCCGTGCATTTAGAGTAATACCAGGGTATTTTACTTCATTAGCATGTGGAACTAACCATTTATATGGTATAAACTATAATATAATTTGTTTTTGTAATGCGAAAACTGGATATATATGGATTTGGTGTTGTTAAGGTTTATACGTCAATTAGTGGTCCATGTTATCATAGCACTTACATGTAATGTAACTGTTGCGTTTTCAATTGTTTCGTCGACTGCTAAAAGAGCAGTATCATCAGCAACACAGTCCTATAAGCAGCGACGACGTAGTCGATTACAGATTGTGTCATAAGAGCCATAACAACAACGACGAGTTACTAGTCAATATTAATACCTGCTTCGTTATGTTTGTAAGCAAAATATTTGCATCAATATTGACATATAAATATATAGAATTCAATTTAGTATTACCAATCATTGATTGTTAAATCATATTTGCCGTTACAGTATTGTTTGGTACAAATATTTTTTCTATGGAAAAAAAATTTTATCTAATGTACTCGTAAAACTAAAAAAGACAACAGCGTATATAAATATTTCTATAAAATAACACAGCTATCTTGTGTGAGGATGAATCACTTATCCAATTGTTCGTCTTCTTTGTTGCATTAACTCCCAATAGAGCATAGCGGCTCAACAATTCCTCTAAACGGTATCCTGTTTGTAGCTGCCGTGCAAATTTCGTTCCATGAGTAGCGCACTGATCTTAGTTCGGCATCGATTGTCATTCGCCATGTTCTTAAAAGAGCGCCAAGCCGACGACTGCCTTGCGGGTTCCACATTAGGGCTTAGGTATTAGGGAGTAGGTATATCCAATCCATTGCCATTTTCGTTTTTTTTATTTCACTCACGACGTTTTGTAGTTAGCCTTTTTCTATAATTCCACGTTAGAGATGAGTTTTGTCCACCATATTTTGAAGATGCGTCTTAGACATTTGTTTATGAAAACTTGTATTCGTGAATTGATGGATCTGGTAAACCTTCATGTTTCGCACCCATACAGAAGTACGAATCTGGTGGTAGCAAAATAACAAAATACTTATCTATATTTTTTTATTTGCACTACGGATTGCCAAAAAGCTGTTTGGCAAGATTTTTGAGGAACTTTCTTCGTTAATCCTTTGCTTTAAACCTTGATTGATGCTCGCTGTAGATATATAAGATGGCAATCCACTGTTACCAATCATGTTGTAGACCAATCCACTACTACCAATCATTGCCAGAGACCAACGCAACATTCGTCGTTTTACTGTGTATTCACTCAATATTTTGTCCAACCGGTGACACCACCTTTGGTTTTATTATAGAATTTGGTTATCTCTTTCCTGGCGCTCTGCGAATTATTTTCAATTTCTCCTTTCATGTGCAAGGTTGATAGAATCAAAACTCATTTGTTTTTTTTTTTTGCACATTGAACAGATTGTTGTGCTGAATTCACATGCCTTGCTGTTGACAGCTGCATGTTGTTTGACAGATAGTTTTTATATTTTCTGATTGTTCCAACGAGTGCATTGCTCCAGAATTGAAATATCTTACCTAGCTCTAAAGATGTAAAAAAGTTGTCGGTAACGACATTTCCTCCAGATCCTTTCAACAAGCGAATTAAGTCTAGCACAGTTCATTCACCAATGCTTACTTGTCTAGGACAAGTACAAAAAATTTTATTACCATTTTTAACTGGCTTAAATTTACACAAAATAGGGTACATTTTAGTACGGCGTTTGAACGGAAAAATTTGTTCATCGACAGTGATGCAGTTATATGGTTTATAAGCTTTTCCAAATTTCTGTTTAACATTGTCCAGATGTCTCGAATCTGTTCTCATACGATCTGCACGTGTATTTTCATCAAATAAATCTTAGTATCATCTTGAAGCAGTTGTGAGACATTGTTGCTCGTATAAGAAGCAACAGCGGCTACATTAGTTATTTACATTGCATTATTACATTATTTGTTTATAAAGTTTAATTAGTTTTGCCGAAAAAGCTACGCTTTTATATAATGACAAAAAGTTTTTTTAAATAGCTCGAAAACCTCTAAATTAGTTATTTATCATAAAAAAATTGGATAGGGGAAGGTGTTTCATACTTTATATATAAAGACACAATTGTACCTCTGTCGCCTCTAAAGGTTGTAAAGATTCCCAGTCCGATTAGGGTTAAATTGCTATTGTCATTTCTATAAAATATACATGGTATATTTGTTTTGAGTTAGTTCATGTATTTTTCAATATTCTGTTTTTTCGATTTCATATTTTTCTATACATATCGTGTATTCATGTTTTTTGTTACAATATATAGTTTTCATGTATTTAAAATAATTATATGTTGCACTTTTCGAGATCCTTGTAGTGGTGTATTTAATAAATAGTATTACCTAGTATCTGAAATTTGATTTGTTGATATTGCTGTGATAGGTTGATTATAAATTTAGTCTTAATGGTCTCAATACTGATGCGGCTATTGCTTTTACTTGTGTGCGTTAACAGAATTCTCCGGTGAAGTTTTTTTCTATAATCCCTAATATATCGTCACAAGTTACCATATTTCTGTTGTAATAAAAGATGTTTATTAACTGAAATTAAATTACAGAAAAGAATAGTAACAGTAGTTGTATTTAAAGGAGGGGTTACCAAGTAGTTAAACTAAACATTACATTTTCAATAACTTCTATTACAATTTTGTTGAATTTATTTCGTGTGTTTGAATTTCTATGAAATAAACATTCAATTATGTAAAAGTTTCTTTAAATTTCATTGACGTCTTTTACAGACGTCTTTTACAGATTGTTGTGAAAAAATAAATATTAAATAACATACCTGTCTATAATTTTTTCAATAAAAAACGTAGATAATTAAATTTATAATAATTTTTGTTTAAATGTCAAGGGGTCTATCACCTACTACTACAAAACAAGAGAATCAGGATGACGGTTACGAAACTAGCGCAGGGGACGTTTTAACACCCAACAGTTCATCAACGCATTCAGTAACACCGCTACACCAGATTCAACACACAGGTGGTTTAATTCAACCAAAATGCGACGAACGATCACAGCAAATGAATATGTTAAATAATGGTCAAAAACAATTAAATATGCAAATGAATAAAAATCATAGCATTGATATTTCTGCCAATATTACAAAACTTAGCGATGCACATAGTGATCCATTTAGTTTTATGACAGATACGCTTGTTGCTGGAAATGAAATTCGAATAATGACCCCTAATTCTACAACTGCAAGCCACGAGTCTCGTAGTAATTATTTAAATATGAATGACAGGCAGAATGAGAATTTATTTGCTCTACAATCACGTTCTCAACAGCATGAAATGATTAATGACCCAGCTCCCCTACATGTTGACCAACATCAAGAATACCATCAGCAACTAAATTTTATTGATAATAATGATACAGTAAAACAACAAAAACGGCGTGGGCGAAAAAAAAAGAATTTAGATGTAGATGGTCTACCTTTGAATTCCATACCAAAGTAAGTTAACTAATGAACATTTTTTTATATTTTATAATAATTTTTAAGTAGTTTATTTAATAGTGTAAAGCCTGGCATTTTGAGTTCAGCTGACGATCCAGAAAATAATAATGGAGCTTTACTTAAAACCAAAGAACGCAAAAAGCATGACCGTTTTAATGGAATGTCGGAAGAAGATGTTATAAAACGAACTTTACCTGATCATTTGTGTGACAATCTTGATATAGTTATAGTGAGTGTAAATTTCTTTTATATAAATTTTATATGCAGAATATATCATATCAATGCATCATAAATATAAAGGCAAATCCTTCGTTTAAAAAAATAAAACCGTAAGCCAAGGGGGTTGCTGCAGTTGATAAATTTTCATTTCTCAATATTGGCGTGTACAGGATGTAATATTCTAAATCTTAATTTGTTCAGAAAACTCCATTACAAAATGTTAGTATAATTTAATTTTTATCTGCTTTACATACATATATCAAGATTACGAGTGCCGCGCATGAACAATATCGATAAATAAAGGAGAATATAGTCACTTTTTCAGATAGAAGAAACGATATTAAGAAGAAGAAATCGATGTGTGTACAACAAACAAGAACGGCAAGTTACAAACTTATTTAAGACAGCAGGCTATGTGCCGATAGGGAGCATGCATCAGCTCACAGGTAGAATGTGGGTAGACGAAAGCATGTCCGCTGATTAGGAGCACAGTACTTCTTGGCCTATTCTGAAAAAAGATGACCCAACGATCTGTATAGATGGTCTTAGGGTGAATGAGGATAAAACGAAGTGTATGTCGTCTATTGGATGAAATGTGCTCTAGTAAAAAAGATTTTTGCAAGGGCCGATAAAGAAAAAGGATGTGGGGCAAAACTGTGTCTCTTGTATAGTATCAAGTTGAGGCAACACTAACCACGCTGGAAGAAGCACGTATGCCGGTGACTGGTTTATACTATAATGTCCAAATAAGTAAACCAACACATTAAAAATAGGCTTTTGGTATTAATAGTTTTCTGTTTTGACCATGTCATATTCTTAAACCTGGTATTCCATTTCTTTCACAATTAAGTTTCCTTTTTATAAGAATTTCTTTGCTAAGTACTTTTTAAAAATCTTTTGGTTTTTTTCGGTCATATTGGGGCTTTTCAACCGATAATAGTAGACATATTAAATATTGTTTCGCAAAACAAATTTACTTAAAAAATGTACAAAAATGAAGAATACTAAATGAATGCTTTGTTTACAAAATATATTTTTAGTATTTGAGTATTAATAAATAACACAAATGTACAAACAATTTAAAAATTTTTAAAATGTTAATTTTTTAAATAAAATAAAATAAATATATGAATATTATCATATAAATTAAGTTTGGAATATCATTTTTTTTTTAATCTACAGGAAATGAAAAAAATATAAAATTTATTCCATTTAATGGAAGATACTATTCATTTTTAAAAGCTTTCTAATTTGTGTGACGTCGCGTGTCTTAGCTAATATTTAAAAAAATCCCCCTAAACTATACGCTTTTTCATTTGTTGGAGTAAAGGAAAACCTCTAATATTTATGTAACTTTGATGTCCTGCATATATATATATGTGTTTATTAACTACTTTTAAAACTATTTAATTTATTTATTTGTAGATTGGCATAAATCCTGGTTTGTTTGCAGCATATAAAGGCCATCATTACGCTGGGCCAGGTAATCATTTCTGGAAATGTTTATATTTATCGGGATTAACAGAAGAACAAATGAGTGCAGACGAAGATTACAAGCTTATAGAATGTGGTATAGGTTTTACTAATATGGTTCAACGTGCTACAAAAGGATCTGCTGATTTGACGCGGAAAGAAATAAAAGAAGGCAGTAAAATTCTATTAGATAAACTACAAAAATTTCGACCAAAAATTGCTGTATTTAATGGAAAATTAATCTTTGAAGTATTCTCTGGTAAAAAAGAATTTCACTTCGGTCGACAGCCAGAATGTGTAGATGGGACAAATACGGTAAGCTTTATTCAAAATTCTTATTTGTATTGATTTCATTTAACACTTTTTGTTTTAGTATATATGGGTTATGCCATCATCTTCAGCTCGTTGTGCACAATTACCACGTGCAGCTGACAAAGTTCCATTTTATGCAGCACTTAAAAAGTTTCGTGACTATTTAAATGGAGTAATACCTCATATTGAAGAGTCAGAGTGTATTTTTACAGAACAAAGTATACGGCAATGTTGTGAACAAGAAAATGTTAGTAAAAATTTAATAGTATCCAATTGCAACAGAGAAGAACACGTTAATATAATGTATACAAATAATCCCTCCAATGCAAATATAATTTCACAGCATACTGAAGGAGTGGACACAAACCAAAATAACATTAGGTATGATAATGCACATAGTAGTTTCATATATAATACAACTGGAAGTGTGAATGGTGCAAGTTCAGCTGATCGAGAAAGCAGTTGTGGAGATTCCTCAACAAATAGAGAATCTAACAGAGAACTATCAAGCAATAATGAAATGTATATGCGTGACAATGTCATGCGATCATTTCAAAATCACTCAATACCAGAAAAAAAGAAACGTGGACGCCCAAAGAAGATTAAAACACAAGAAATTATTGATCCAGCAACTGGTAATAAAATTTCAATAAATAATATGCAAGTGGGTATGGATTGTAACAATATTCTTAATTTATCAATGGTAAGTAATAACGCTGGAGAAGTGCCTAAAAAGAAACGCGGAAGACCAAAAAAATTGAAACTAATACCTAGTGAACCTTCTGCTATATTACAAAAAGCAAATTCATCACTTTTGCAAACACCTGAGCAACGACAACTTCAACAGCAATCCCAAAGTATGTTTCTTGCAGAACCGTCGCCCACAAATTTTAGTAATAAATTATATCCAACTCCTTCACCAATTCATTCTCCTGCAATTCATTCAACATCAAAATATGTAGCTGGATCATCTCCAATTACAATTCAAAGTAACCAACAAACGCCACCGTTGAGTAAATTAATAGGTAATCGTCAGGAAGAATCTAAAGAATTAATTTCAGTAGAAGCACATGTTCGTGACACTAATACTGGTTATTATCCAACCCAACTTATGTCAGCATCAAAAATAACAGCAGAATCAACATTGCCTTCTGTAGGAGTAATACCACCAAGTGAGTCCCAATCGACAAATTCAACACCTTCGCCCAATTCATCAAATATTTGCGGTGTAGATTTTGAAAGAGGTACAAATATCAATAATATTGTTGGTAACAATCAAAATATAGAAATGCAACAAAGGGATATTTTAGAGGTACATCAACGTTTGAGTTATGATAATTCAACATCAGAACTTCCTCCTGAACATGCAACAAATAATCATTTTCAATGGCTACCTTCACAACAAATTGATCGAATTCATCATCCGCATTCTGATAATATTAATTTAAACTACCGTGAACCGAATATTTATAATATGCAATGCGAACAATTGGAGCAGCAACACCAAAGTCAATCTGAGAATCGAGGACATATGTCAACATGGCAACAACATCAGCAATGTTTTGATAACTCAAATTATATGTTTACAACCCAAGCTTTGCATCAAACTGAAAATAACCATCAACGACATTCACAAGAATTAAACAATTGCATATCTAAAACTCATAAGCAAATATCGTCTTCGGATGTATCCAGCAAAAGTCTTTCAGGTTTAGAATCATTAGTAGACCAAATACCTACTATAGCTGAAAGTGATAACTCTGTCGTCAGTTCAGCAATGATAGGTACAAATCATACACTGGAGAGTAATTTACACGTGTTATCAAACCAACATAATCAAAATAGTCAACATAGTCGTACATCTGTTGACTTCGGAACAAGTACAACAAATGGTGGAAGCATAACGGACGGTACACCAGATTCCCTACCTGGAGGAAGTAGTGGAAATGTAACACCACATAATTTGCCATCGATATATGCAACAAACTCTCCAGGAAGTTTTAGTATTAATCGTATAAATTCAACGTCTGCAGGTTCATCACCGCAATTGTTATCACCTCAACAGATACAACAAACAAACCAAAGTCATTCTTACGAAATTATTTCTTCTGTAACACCCAGCACAACGCCAGTTAATTCAGTTCATGTTAACAGCCCAACAGCAGATAGAATAACAGTATCTTCAGAAAACTGTACACCTCCCACAACAACCACAGTTAATGCAATTACAACCAGAAATAGTAACAGTATCAGTAATAATCCTCTCTCTAATATCCATAATAACAGTTTTTCAGTGAGTAATCTCGCAGCATCTTCGGTCAGATCGAATGCTCATAACGAAAATTATGCTTCTAGTGCAGCAAATAACACAAGCACATATCATCATCATTCAAGTTTTCACACTCCAGTGTATTTGGATCATACACATGCACATCAACGTTATGAAAACGCTGGTAGTCATTATCTATTTACCGCACAAAACTTACATCATCCACATCATCACCATCCTGCCTATGGCACTACTTACGATAATACGTATAGAAACACAGCAAGTCAAGCACTTCATATACCTAGTCCCAATTATCCATACAGTTATGGAGCACCTACTCCAACAGCCACAAACTATGCAACTGCAATACATGCACACCATCAGCCAACACCTACACCTCAACCACCGACACCTCCATCCAGTGCCGTGTCTGCTTTAACAGCAGCGGCAATTACATATCCACATCATTCGCACCTCAGTATGTACGAACGTTTAAAACCTTCCGACTTAGGCGGTTATGGGGGTTTCTGATGGTAAATGTTTGACGAATTGTTACTTAACATTGGGTACTTGAATTAGAATAGTAATATAAATACCAACACATAAATATTTGTGCATATAAATCTTGATATTTATTTTTTGTATATACATATTACCAAGTAAATTATGTAAATATTTTCTGTATTGAAATCAATATACACTACTTGTTCTTCTTAAGCTACCAAAGACTTGAACTTCGTTTGACTTTTTAAGTATTTAAACTTTTTCTTAAACTGGAATCTCAAATTAGTATAAATAATAAATGCTTAGTATCTTATGTTTAAAACAAAACTTGGTTGTAATATACCACTGTTTATATTTTATTCTGTTTCTCTCTAAATCTCGTTAGAAATCAGCTGAAACATATATAGTTAATTAAAAATGTCTGTACTTTAAAATTGCTTAAAAAGAATAAAATTTAAAATAATTGATTAATTATGTCCAAGTACAACTTTTATATTTAAATTCATGTTAAATGCTTTAAACGCAGGAAGAACTAAATACAATAATCACAATTTGTCAATAATTAAACGCGTTAATTTTAGCGATGTTACCAAGAAACTGTTTTAGGATTATCAAATAATAGTGATTTTTAACGTCTTTATATCTATATAGAGTATGTCATTACTAAAGATCATAAAGCTGTTAAAAAAGAAATGTTAATAATGCACCTAAAAATGTGAAAATTTATAAAACTTTTAAGTATATTAAACCATTGTACTTTGAACAGGTCTTTCTTGAATACGTTCCTATCTGTACATGAATAGCAAAGTATAGCAAAGTACTTCAAAAATTAATTATGGTAATTATGTTTCAAGTTATTGTTTTGCCAATGTTATTAAAATTTAATGCAATGGAGTTTAAAAGAACATAGTTATTTAAAATAATGTATTATATGTTAAATGTTTGGTTTTTAATCTAAATAAAAATGTGATGTGGGTCGCGTATCACACTCATAAAGTAATATAAATTGTAATTGCAAAATTGTCATTTATTCAGATCAATAAAATTTTATAGTTCACTAAAATAAAAAGATGAAAACATAAAATTATATTAAATTATTTATTCGTTAGTGAAATCTTTATTATGTAAAATCTTTGAAATTTACATTATGTAAAATAATAATAAAATATAGAAATTTTAAAGCGGTTAAAGAATCCCTTTTAAAACAATTTAATGTAACATATATAAAAATATATAATGAATTCAGTAATTATATAAAATAACTCAAAATAATTTGTTTAAGACTGTGAATTTTATTTAAAAAATAAAATGTTTAAATACTTGTAGATTTTTATTTGTTTTTATAATGCTTCTAATATAGATATTAAAGAAAAGTTTGTAATAACATGAAACACATAATATCAATATAAATTAGTTGGTAGATATTTTGAACTTACATATACATTTTTAACAATGTTGTTAGTACTATTTTTCTTATTATTTTTATATTGAAACATCTATCTTTAGATATAACCAGATATCAATGTGAGAATCGCGAAAATATTTTATAACTAATAAGAAAAGGAATATGAGTAACTTGTAATTTCAAGTTATATGATTTTTGGTTTATAATTTGAATTTTAGGGTTTCTTATTAATTGCAAAAGTAAATTATTATTAAAGTAAATTAATGATGTATTTTAATACTAACAAACTTAAAATTTACAGATAAGCATTTCAAACGAATATTAAAATTTATTACAGTTTTTTCCAAAATATATATTTACAAGTAAGTATTGTTCACATTAACGAAAATGGTCATTTAATAACGAATTGGTTAATTAATGTATTATATTTAAAATATTTGTTTTATAACAATTTATGTGTAATATTAAGTTTATTTATCTTACTTATTAGAATAGTAGGAATTGTTTACAAAACCGTCGTAATTATGCCATGAACAAATTTATACAAATATGTAAGAAAGATGTAAGATGTTAATGGTCGTACTTAATATATAGTCCCATGCAATTCATATTACAATCATGTTAAAAATGTCTTTATTATTTTTGATGTAATTAGATACCATTTATAAAGACTAAAAACTTTAATAAAATTTACTGTGTGTTTAAAATATTTTTATATAAGCTTTCATGAGAAACAATATTTTTATTTTATTTTATTAGCACTTATAATTACTAGATATTATGAACTATAGGTAATATTAAAACGATAATAAATTAACTGAAATAAACATATGTTCGTGTTTAAAGAATATAAATTATAAATCAATTTAGTTTTTTTGTTACATTTAATGATAATTTAGAAAAAATAAAACTAAATAATATTAATTTTATATTATATTCTCGCCTAAAAACATCCATAATCATGCACCTATAAACATAAATTGAAATGTCAAATAAATTAAATGCCAAAAATAAGTTACTTTAAGGAGGTACATAAAGTACCGCAAGATGTAATTTTTCAAATAAAAGTTATCTCAACGATTTTTAAATATTTCAAATACAAAATTATATTTAAATTGAAATAAATAAAACGAAGTTTCTTCCAAACGAAATGTATTTTCTATATTAAAATGCTGTTACAATATTCTTTTGCTATAATTAAATTAATTGTACCTATTTTCAAATGCATAATATATACCAACCTGTGCTTAAACCACATACATATATGTACATCTATAATGATAGTGAAAGCAAAGGGGTTAGACGTTATTGTGATTAATTTTCAAATGAATTAACTTTACAAGAAATAATCAGGATTATCAATTTATATATATTTTTATATCGTTAATACAATTTTCACTTGTATAAGACCGCATAAGGTTGCGGTTACATTGCATGCGAATTTTGTCTTGCATGTTCGTACGAACAAATCAAATGTATGTAATCATATATAAGTGGTTACAGTCGCTGAGAACTATTTGCGTGACGTCTTGTCTTTCCAATGCGAATATTTGATTGAACAACATTGATTTGATTTGTTTGAAATTTATGCGTTCGTGCTAAATCGAAAGTATAAATATTGAAATTTAGAGGCGTATGTTGTTTTCACGTAGTTTGAAATTTATAAATGAAAATAAATTGGAATACGTATGTAAAGAACACGAAAATGCAACCATGCAGGGTTGACTTTGCGAAATGGCGGGATGCATAGCGTTTATTTTTGATTGAGTAATAAGAACACATTGTAAAGATTGAACTTTAAAATTTCTACATGAAAAAGACATAAGAGAAAATTATAACAGTCAGAGTTTTGTAGAAATATTTTAAATATAAAATATAATAAATAATAATTTAAAACTTAACAGAAATCAGAAATGGGATAAATATCGCCTAGCCGAAACGTGTGCCCTTGAGAGCGCTAGTGCTTCAATAAATTAACATGCGCGAAAGCAAAGTTAGGATATAAAACAAAACGAAACGTAAAACGAAATTTGTTCTTTTTAAATTAACGGCTGTAAAAAAATTAAAATGATAAAGTTGCAGGCGTTTAAGTGAGCTGAAGGAGGCGTTGAAAGAAGAAGGCTTAGATTCAACGGGCAATAAAACGCAATTGGTTTTGCGTCTGACGGAGCACCTGAAAACAGACGAAATCCGCGAGCCGGTAGATGTGAGTTCCATAAATTCACGTATAGATAATATGAAACGAATGATTCAACAACTTGTAGTAGGCATAGAAAACCTGACACGAAGTAAACCTATGGAAAACGTGAGTGAAAAAAACGAAAGTCAGAAGACGGCAATTGCAGTGGCTAACAGTCTACCACACCATGGGTCGGTAAATGATATCAGCGAAACGATACCCGTGTTCGATACAACAGATAGAAACGGTTTTACGATCAGGCAATCAATCGCGTCGAAAGATTTCTTAATGCATTCCAATGGAATGAAGAACAACTATTGCTATCCGTTTATGGAAAGTTAAAAGGAGTAGCGCGGTTGCGGTATTCCTCGATAGCGAGCGGAGCAGTTTTTCGAATAAGTTGCGTGCAGAATTTGATGTAAAATGTGACAAAGCTGACATTAATTTTGAATTGAGTTAAGTGGTACGTAATGTTAATGAAGGCATCATAGACTATTGTTTTCGAATTGCGGCACTTAGTCGACGATACAAGATAAGTGATAATGCCATTATAAAATATACTCGCAATGGACTAAACGAAACTGAATTGCAAGCGCCAAATTTCGCGAATGTATTGAGGACTTTTTACGCAATATGCAACGCGGAACGAACAAAAGAGTTTTGGTAAATTCATCGTCAAACCGGACAGCAAAAGTTTAGAACGGAACCGAAGATTAGAGCTTGATTCAATTGCGTTGAAGCGGGATATTTTTCGCGCTACTGTTCAAAGCCACAACGTAGACAACGGTGTAATGATTGCGGAAAAGTTCACCCGAAATGTCAGAGTATGCTCTGTGTGGACTTGAGTGTGAGTCGAATTGAACGCACCAAAGAATCTATAAGAAAAATATACATCAATGATAGACAATGTACAGCACTACTTGATACATGTAGCCAGTGCAGTCTTGTACGGAAAACAGTATCGAGAACTATTAATGGACAAATCCAAGACAAGACATTTAAGACACTTAATGACGTCAAGACATTTAATGGTAAAAATAACTACTGCGGGATCCTATATCAATGAACGAAATCAACTGCGGAAGCGATAGCGATGTAATACGACAAGACTTGCGAAATCTTATTAATAATAATAGAGATGTATTCGCCACCAGCTTGAGTGAAATAGACAAAATGGGGTTAACGAAAATAAAAATTACATAAACAACTGATCATCCAATAGTACAAGAGCCGTATCGGGTACCAGCGCCAAAACGGTTGGTGGTGGCAGCAATGGTGAATGACCTTATGGAAAACGACATCATTCAGAAGTTAGAATCTACGTATGCCAGTCCTATGGTTTTCATCAAGAAAAAGAATGGCGAAGATCGCTTATGCGTTGATTATCGATGTATCAACAATAACACGATCAAAGAAATATTTTCCCACCCCAAGTATCGAAGAACGACTACAAGAAGCGAAACAATATACTTATTTCACAACCCTTGATCTTAACTCAGAGTATTATCAAATACCAATAGCGGAAGAAAGCAGAAAGTATACTGCATTTATAACAAAAGACGGGTTGTATGAATTCGAACGTATGCCTTTCGGACTCAAGAATTCTGTTTGAGTCATGAAGCATGAAGGCGGTTTTCATTCGTATGTAGGCGGAAATACGACAGACGAATGTTTAGCAAATTACAATAAGTATT